TGGTGCTCAGATTCACGGCTCCACGCTCCATTTGTCCATCCTGAAGCCCTTCGTGGTGCTCAGATTCACGGCTCCACGCTCCATTTGTCCATCCTGAAGCCCTTCGTGGTGCTCAGACAGAAACACCCAAGAGCATCCCTACGCTGGGGAAGACCAAACTTGACTGGCGTGGCAGAGCAGGAAGACATGAGCACACATATTATTTTACCTCCTCCAGCGACTAACCCTGCCCCCCCCCCACTCACTGCTTTCCTGGAAGATGGGACAGATGACAATAATAAGTTTTATCCAGAGAAAGCCTTAGCTGCTCAATTAGGACTTTCCCTATCACCTCATGTTCACCCAGGACTAGAATAGGCTGAGGCCCATGTAGGCTGTGGCAGTATCTCCATACTTCCCCTCAGCTACAGAGTCAAGGCCCAGACATCAAAGCTGACTCTAGTAATGGGTCCTTCCTCTCACTGGATCGCACTCCCCGGTATTAGGTTGTCTGGGTCTCATAAGGTTAGAACCCAAACCTGAGTTCTGTGGTTTCACGTGACCATCTCTCTCATACCCTTCCCTGAGGGCCTGGTCCCAGCTTTTCTGAGAACCTTCCCAGGTTTGGACTTTATGAGTTTCACAGACTCCACACATGAAATGCTACTCTCCATGATGGAGACTACAGTACATCTACTAGAACCTATGTCCCTACCAGCCTTCCCTCTGTTCTTTCTCAAAAGAATTCTAGAAGCTTCTCTAGTACCACAGCATGGCTGGAACAAGAGAATTCCCAACTTGATCTAGTGATGCCTGTTGAACTTACAACTCTTTTTTTTTTTTTAACATTTTTTTTCTTCTTTTTTCTTTTTTGGTTTTTTTGAGACAGGGTTTCTCTGTGGCTTTGGAGCCTGTCCTGGAACTAGCTCTTGTAGACCAGGCTGGTCTCGAACTCACAGAGATCCGCCTGCCTCTGCCTCCCAAGTGCTGGGATTAAAGGCGTGCACCACCACCGCCCGGCTGAAATTACAACTCTTTGCTGCCTGTAAGCACCACTTCCTTCCTCCCACCTCCTGCCTCCTCACCCTGACCTCCTCCACATCTCACCCCTTGGAAGGATTTGAGGAAAGGACGTGGGGTTTGTTTGTTTGGAAATGTTTTCCAGCAAAAGCGGAAGCCACTGTCTGGGAGAGAGACAGCCCTTGAGCTAGAGACACCCCGGGTCGAGACTAGCAAAATGCTGAGGAGTAAGACTCAGAAGGAGGAAGCAGGGGGATCTTTGTAGAAGATAGGTGGAAGGATTGTAAGAGCCAGAGGTTCAAGGAGTTTGCTGTGAAATCGTGTCTCCAAGGAATGGCAGAAGCTACACCTATAATGTCTCACCAACATGAACAAGGATGATAGACATGCTATTAGCAGAAGGGGGAAACCCACAAGGTCTCACCCTGCACAAAGAACTACAGGTAGTTAAGGAATGCTGAGGGCTAGAGAAATAGCCTTCCCAGGGAAGAACATACCAAGTCTTTCAATGCCAAATGGTCAGTCCTGAACACATACATACAAGTAACACTATACAGACTGAGCAGGTTGTAGTTATGTCTTTAGAACTATATATGTGTGTATATATACATGTATGCAAGTAACAACAATTAATGAAACAATTGAACAAGGAGGGGCACATGGGAATGCTTGTATGGAGGACAAGGAAGGGGTAAATGATGCAAATATAATCTCAAAAAAAATTTAAAAAGTGATTTTAAAAAGAAGCCAGAGCTTTTTGGCCCTCCCTCTTCCATTCCCATTTTTCTTGAAGGATAAGCTTCTCTGTTGTTCTATTTTTGTGGTTGGTGGAAGAGGGTTTGTCGGGAATCTACCTTGACAAAGCTCCTGGTAACTCTCCCTAGGCTACAGGGATCCCAGGCTGATATTTAGTATCTCAGATATAAGACTGACAGCCAGCTACCCATTGGCCAATGGTTGGTTGTAGTAAGAGGCTGCGTGTTTGCTCCCAGCTGCTCAACCCCGAAATAACTACACAAAAACTTATTAATTAAATCACTATTTGACCTATTAGCTCTAGCTTCTTATTGGCTAGCTCTTACATCTTAATTTAGCCTATTTTTATTAATCTGTGTATCGCCATGTGGCTGTGGATTAAATGCAAAGTTCCCTCCAGCATCTGTCTCTGGCAGGGCTATATGGCTTCTCCCTGACTCCATCTTTCTTCCAGCATTCAGTTTAGTTTTCCCTGCCTAGCTCTGTTCTGCTTTGCTCTAGGCTCAAAGCAGTTTCTTTATTCATTAACCAATAAAAGCAACACATATACAGAAGGACTTCCTACATCAGTTGATTGGAAATGTCATCATAGTTGTGAATGTTAAATGAACAGTACTTACCCTTAAGGGAGCCTGTGAGTCCCAACAGTGTAGTGTATGGAGCCTGAGAGTTTCAGGTGGCTCCAAAGAAAGTGTGACTCCGGGCCACTTCTGTTAGAAAGTGACAAGAAAGCAAGAGGGATCAAGCGTGAATGGATTTTTGAAGAACTGGGGTAAACCTGGACCCCGGAGAGACTGGAATTAGTTCTGGGCATCATGAAAAAGTGAGACAGATTAGAGATAGGTCTGCCACACAATGGGTGAGCTGAGTGAGTGGCTGTTTCATCACCTTATTTGTGTATTTAATCATTCCTCCCTTGGCAGAACAAGACAGTATGTTGATCCTTCACCAACCTGGTATGGCTGTGATGAACTTCTCACTGAAAGACCTTCTGGTATCTGAGAATCAATAGGTCACATACGAAAACAGATATGGAGGAATGTCTCAGTGATTAAGAGCTCCGGCAGCTCTTCCTGATCTTCTAGGACATAGGTTCAATGCCCAGCATCAATATTCACAACCATCTATAATGCCAATCCCAAAAGATAAGATGTTTTCTTCTGGCTTCCATGGGCACCAGACACTCATATATTACATAGATATACATACAGAAAAAACACCAATACACACACACCGAAACAACAACAACAAAACAAAACAAAAAGAAGGCAATAGTGTTTAAGCAGAATGTAGTGGCTCAAACCTTTAATCCCAGCACTCAGGAGACTGAGGCAGCAGGATTTTAGTGAGTTCAAGACCAGCCATTGCTACACAGTGAAACCCTGTCTCAAGAAACAAGTAACCCCCACCCCAAAACAAAACACAGCAAGGACACCCCCGCAAGCAGAGAGAAGGCTTTATGTGTTTATGAGATCCTTAGAGAACTTAACAGGGACCATAAGAGAATCTAAGTAAACTCACAAAGCCCAGAGCCATGGGCTGAGAAGGTCTTTGCCTAGAGAGAAGGATTTTAAGAAAGAAAATGAGGGAGACAAATGGAGGTGTGTACCCTGGAACATAGGAACCTGGAAAACATGGTGTTACGTGTTTTATTAAGACACCTGACATAAAATATCACACATTAATTGGTTTTATTTTTATGCGACAAATCAAGCAAATCCATTGACACAGAAACCAGATTCTGCAGGGGCTATGAGGAAAAGGACTTGGGGGATTTCTTAACAGGTCAGGGCTGGGGTGTGTGTGGGGGTGATTACGTGTGACAAAATGCCTGGAATTAGATACTGTAGTTGTACAGTGTTGTGAATAAATTAAAAGACGTTATAATGTAGATGATAAAATACAGCCAGTCTAAAATCTGGATGTAGGTCCACGTGCCTATAATGCCAGCACTTAGGAAATGGACAAAAGCAGGTCCAGAGTTCAAGTCATCTTTTCATGTATATAGGATTTTGAGGTCAATCTGAGCTACATGAGACTCTGTCTCAAAATACTAAACTAAACAATTAGTCAGTTTTGCTATATGAATTTCATCTTAATTCAAATGCACATAAGGGAGGGAAGTTGCCGTAGCAAAGTTTGCTCTGGAGTCATGGTGTGATCTTGCTGCCCCACTCACTTGCAGTGTGATGCTGTGTGTGACCTCTGTTACTCACCAATAAAGGGGATCACAATTCTAAACACACACATGGGAATATGATGGAGATGACTCAGGAGAGACCATCTAGAGCCCATTAGCACAGATCACGGAGTGTGGATAAGTCGGGACTGCAGCAGTTAAAAGTGTGAGAGAAATGACTCAGAATAAGTTGTGGCCTCCAGAAGTCTCTCTGTTCAAGAAATGCACTTAACTGTCTGTTTTGTTTTTTCAATTCCATTCACAGATGAGAACATGATGCATAGTTGGGCAGAAAAAGTGATGAGGGCTCCATGGCACCCACCGGATTCTCAGGGGTATAAGGAGCCCTTGAAAACACTGAAATCCATAGACTCTCTTCCCTCAGTCCATTCAGCGGGGCAGGAAGTGAATCTGGTATTTGGGGGGTATTTTGCTTACACCACTCTCCTTGGGCCTGAGGTCAATGTCCTTAGGAGCTACAGGACTGGACACAGAGAAGTTCTGGAGGATGGTGGTGAAGAAAAGGAACAATTCGTTGCGGGCAATGCCTTCGCCAAGACAAATGCGCTTTCCTGTGGGCACAGAGAATGAGCCATGTGAGCCCCAGGGCAGTATACAACCTTCCGACTGTCCCTTCCCTAAACCCAGACAGCTGTATCCACTACAACGGATAAATGTAAGTTTGACTCTTTACCTGCAATTCTGAGAGACTATAAAGAAATCCTCCATACCTCAAAAAATAAGTGTGAAATATTAGGTGGGCGATCCACATTCATTTGTGACAGAGCTGGATTTCTAAAGCATCCATTGCCCCAGAGGAAGTAAGGACCAACTTGGACTTGGGTATGGATACTTGGGTAGGGGGACATACATTTATTACAAGATATCATTAGTATTCTTAACTTCTCTCAGAGGACAATGATACCCAGATCATAAGGCTATTATGTGCACAAATATAGATGTTCGTACTGACTCTTCGATTGACACCTGGCTGATATTAATAATTCTATATGAGCCAGGCATGATGCTGCATTGCTGTAATCATAGCATGTGAAAAGTTGATGCAGGTGGATGGTGAGTTCAAAACTGCATCAGCTGTATATCAAGACTGCATCTTAGAAACCAACGAGAAGGAAGGGAAGGAGGAGGAAGAGGAAAGAGGAGAAAGATGCTCCGGATCTCCCCCACTTTCCCCCACCCCTTTCTGGTCTCAGCACTAGAACTTCAACATGTTCCCAAACACAGAAGCTCATACAATTGAGAATGGGCAGGGGAACATGATGAGGGCTCCATGGAACCCACCGGATTCTCAAGGGTATAAGGAGCCCTCGTTGGCTTGTCACCTTGGTCGTGGAGCAGCACAGAGCAATGGGAGCCTGAAAGCCCAGACAGAGGCTCCACCACCGGCCCTGTACCTTGATGATTCTTAATCTGCAGCTGGCTGCCTCAGGCCTACAGGTGGAGGAGGGATTCCCAGCAACCCCTGTGCCCTCCAGTGGTTGGGGAACTGCCTATGTAGGGGTGTCTAGGGAAAACACCCTATTCCTTTGGACACCTCCTTTCCAGAATTTAGGTGACATGAGTTTCTAAATTCATGGAGTAGCTCTCTGAGATGGTTCTCCTAGAACTGGTTTTGTGACCCAGATTTTTCCAGAGCTGCTTTTAATGGTGTATATCACTCTCAACACAAAGTCCCCATGCCTGGAGCTGGCGATTTGGACAACGTTCATGTCTCTTTGGCTCTAACACTTTTGAGCTATATTTTTTTTGCTTGCTGGCCAGGGCTGTCAACTTGTATCTCTTTACCCATCAGCTATTATTTTTCCTTTCACATTTTTTCCTTTTCTGCTTCTTTGTGCCTAAATTCCCTATTGTTTATATCCCCCTCCACCTTCTCTGTCTCTGTCTCTCTGTTACACCCATCCTCCCCTTATCACTTATTCATTCAGTATTTGCCTCCATATGTCCCTTTGGTCTATTCCTCATTCTGGTCCTCTCCCTTCATTTTCCATCCTCCCCTCCCCCCTGTTCTGACACCTCTCCCTCCCCTTTTCTATCATCTCAGTTCACTATCCATCTCTCATAAAATGACTCTTCCTGCATGGTCTTCTTCTGCCCTGATTTCAGTTCTGCTGTTTGTCCTGACCCCCACCCTCCAAAAACAATCAGAGTTAAGGAAAGGGAAGGGAAGGGAAGGGAAGGGAAGGGAAGGGAAGGGAAGGGAAGGGAAGGGAAGGGAAGGGAAGGGAAGGGAAGGGAAGGGAAAGGGCTTCTCTTTGAGTCACAAGTCCAGATCACTGACTGTCATGCCAGAGAAGTCAAAGAAACAAGAACTGGAAACAACTGGTCAACCCACATCTATAAGGAGAGCATGCTACCTACTTCCTTGGAGCTCAGCTTAGTCCTTGCATCTCTTACACAGGCCTGGGCCCCAAACAAGGAATAATACCACCCACAATAGGCTGCATCTTCCCATATCAATTACCAACCAAGAAAGCCTCCCACAGACCATTGTAAGACAGGTATTTCTCAACTGAAACCCTCTTCCCGGGAGATTCTAGATCGTCAGGTTGACACTTAGCACGAATAGTACACCTTGTCCCAATCTCACTGTGCCTCTCTTTGTTACGATCTCTGCTTCAGCTCCATTATCTCTCCATCTCCTAGATGCTTCCAGAGTAACCCTCTGCATTCCTGCTGTCCTGTAAGCTGACAGCTATGGAGTGGAGAAATGCACTTTACATGTCCGCACACTGAATGAAGATTCAACTGGCCATCTCAGGGTGGCACTGAGCCCTGGGTCACTAAAGTCACTATGACACTCAACTCTGGATAGTTTTTGCCAGAGATATGTGGTTTAGTGGCAGAACACCTGCTTAGAATCCCCCAGTGAGAGGATGAGGGCATGACTCCATGGTAGAGCCCCTGCCTAGAATCTCACAATGAAGTGCTGGAGGGGTGTGGCTCAGTGGTGGAACCCCTGCCTAGAATCCCCCAGTGAGGGGCTGGGGGTGTGGCTCAGTGGTAGAGCCCCTGCCTAGAATCCCCCATAGAGTGGTTGGGGGCATGACTCAGTAGTAGAGCTTCTGCCTAACATTTACAAAGCACTAGGTTCAATAATTAGCACGCAAAGAAAAATTTTAAGGAATACTTTCTTCGACTTTCCTTTCTCCCCAAAGATAAGGAATCTATCTACATAAATGGAGTTTTTTCATGACTAAAGCTTGTTAAAAATGAATTCATTGGGACCTTGGGAGCTCAGTCCAGTGCTCCAGTGTGGGTTTCTGTCTCTATCTCCATCCATCACCAGATGAAGGTTCTATGGTGATATGAAAGATATTCGTCAGTAATGCTATAGGATAGGGTCAGTTCAGGTTCCCTATCCTCAGTTTCCCAAGGGACTAACTGGGGACATCGCCTTGGGCTCCTGGGAGCCACTCTAGGTTCAAGTCTCTTGCCAACACTAAGGTGGCTCTTTTAACTAAGATATGTGCTTCCCTGCTCCCCTATCCGACCTT